AAAAAAAACTTGGGGTTTCCAAAAAAACAGTAAAAATGTAATCTTTCTTTCACCAATTTCTGTGGGAACCTTTTTTTTTGTTGTTCTTTTGATTGAGTAGATCTCTTTTTCTTAGATGAATGAGTTTATTTTGTTGTTTTGATCTTGTGGGGGTCTCTAATTTGTTGATTTTATGCAGAAAATTTCAAAATCTTGAAAAAATAGGATGAAATCTGGAAAGGGTCATCATGTGGAAGAAGAAGAGGATGAGTATGATTTTGGTTCTAACAGAGATGCCACACCTTCAAGTAACAGTACTAAAGGTTTGTGAAATTTTTTATTTTTGTGTTTGTTGTAGTTTAATGGTAGAATTTTCTGCAAGAAAGGATTTTTGAACTGGATTTTGAGGTGGGAATAAATTTTTTGACTATTTTGGTTTAGGTTAATTGTTTTAAAATGTAATTTTTATTTACTTGTTGGAAGTGACAGATGGGAAGAACAGTGACAAGGCAAATGCAATTAGGTCGAAGCATTCTGTTACAGAGCAGCGTCGGAGGAGCAAGATCAATGAGAGGTTTGTTTTTGATTTTCTAATTTTAGTTATAGTTGATTTGGTAGGAACAATAAGGTATGAATGCAACTCGAGAACCACGAGTTCATGCTCAGGAATTGGAATTCAATTGAGAAACAAGCTCACAAACTGAACTAATAGAGTAATTGTATTGATAAACTCTTAAATGATTAGGGTGAGCTTGTTTTATTAACTGTTGCTGACATAAGGCACCAAAATGCTCTTAACTATGGTGGCAAAAATTACACCTAATTGTCTTAACATGAAGGAGACATTTATGAATAGAAAAATATATACAGAAAAAAGCTTTAATATTCCATTAGGAATTACTTCCCATTTACTGAAAATATATTGGATACGGATATCAAGTTACGAACCTAAGCAGTAGATTCTGAACTGGAAAGCACTAGTTAAAATAAAAACAAGTTGCAAACCTGAGAAAAAAGATAATGCATGTCCTACATTTTGAGGCCACAGAGATCTTCGAACTGAATATTTGCTTTGAAAGCCTACCTCTTGGTACCATTGCAAACTTTGAAATACACTTGCTCGGTGCTGATGTACGTCATGTTGATGAACATCTGATGTCTTCTCCATTTGTATGTTCTGTGATTTTCTTTTCTTTTCATGTTTGTGTTGCAAAGGCGCTCTATACATATTCAAGTTGATTTACAAGATAATGCATTTATTTTGTTGTGACTTTATCTTTAGAATTTGTAACAATTGCCAGATTTGTGTAAAATGCCTGAACAAAATTTCTGCACTCTTGACAAAGTTTTTTGTCTATCTCTAGATTTCAGATGTTGAGAAATTTGATACCCCATACTGATCAAAAACGAGATACCGCGTCATTCTTGTTCGAGGTACATTTTAGAAAGAAACTTTTACATTCTTCTTCTTTAAAGTTTAGATTTATTGGTTTATTTTGATGTTTGTATGCAGGTAATTCAGTACGTACAGTATTTACAGGATACAGTGCAGAAGTATGAAGGATCATATCAACCTTGGAGCTCGGAGCCTACAAAACTTATGCCATGGGTAAATTATATACCTATAGTTATAACATCTCTATTCTCACCATAACTTTTTTGGTTGTGAACTTTTGAATTGGGCTCTTTTGGTCTTAGCTGTGCTAAATATTATTCCTCTAACAGAAAATACTCTTGCTTCAGATTGTTAAGATATTATGTAATCCACGTCAATTAGGAATGATTTGATTAGGATTCTGTAATTATACACTTGCTAAAGTTGTACATATTGAAGTACTATAAATCCCAACCAAGCTTGTGGGAAATAATCAAGTTTTTTCGGTGCAATTATCTCTAGTTTTAACAGTGACAGAAGTTGCAAAATAATTCAGAGCTGATCTGTACAGCTGAACAGTGAACTTGTAAAAGACACATTCAGCTCTAGTCTGTCTAGCAGACTTCCACGTAATTGCACCCATGCTCTGTAAATCGTTTTCAAGTCGAGTCAAATTGGAAAGAGAACTTTCTCTTCCTTCCCCCCCTACGTCCACCCCCACCAAACACACACATACATGCACCACTCTCTGATGACCATTGAGGTGCATGTAATTTCAGGTCACATTTTATGTACTGGTATATGCATGGTGCTCTCATTTTGTGGTTCCATTGTTTTTTTTATCTTTCCACTATTTCATATGTGAATATGTTCATGGTTTCAGAAAATAGATAGATCTACATTATGGATGCATCTGATCTATGGGTAACTATACCTTAGATTGGTGTTGGCTCGATCGCTTTCCGGTGTTCGCCTTTAGTCCTGCAAGATTATGACATATCCCCCTCTTCTTCCACTTTACTCTCTCTTCCAGATGTAAAATTCCATTGATGCTACTTAGGCTATATAAGGAGGTTGCTATTTAGGCAATGATAAGTCCATAGGTGCAACATAAATTGTGCTATTAACTACCTAGACTGTGTTTTTGCATCTCTTAATATAAGGAAGGGAGGGGCATGACTACATATACTTCGTAATGGGAACAACATGTGTTTAGTTATAAGTGTGTGCTACTTTTGAAATCCTTCAGAGAAACAGTCAGTGGCACGCACAGAGTTTTCCTGCAAACCCTCAGGCCTTGAACAATGGTACTGACACAGGACCAACATATTCAGGAAGGTTTGATGAGAATCTCTTAACCGTCACTTCGTCTATGCAAGCCAATCAACGGAATCCACTTGAATCTCATCCTGGTGGTGATGTTAAATCGATGGATCAAGAAAAGGAACTAGCTAGAATGGCAATCACGACATCGATGCCTCTTCAGGCTAGTATGCCAGTCCCTTTTCAGAATGATAGTTCCTTCTCTGACTCACTACCCACGCCTGCGTCTGATGAATGCCCCAGCACCACTAATGCTCTGAATAATCAGGAGTTTATGGTAGAAGGCGGCACAATCAACTTTTCGAATACTTACTCTCAAGGGTGAGTACATTTATCTAGTTTTAGAGTTTATAATATTAAATAAAGTGTGTGGTCTCTGTATATTGGAAGTATATTAGTTGTCTTCTGCAGGCATTTGCTTGCTTTTCCTTTTTTGTTAGTAGTCGTTCTATATGCTGCTTTCATGTTTTAAGACACTGCTATCTCTGTCACTGAATGATGTTGCATGAAAGAATGTGGTGATATCTCGAGTATCTTAAGTATGCCTTTTTTGTTATGATGAAGCTTGTGTATCTCTCATCACAAATTTGGAATTTCTAAACAGTTGCGATGATTGCTATATTTATTGCTTAAGCTAGCATGTTGAAATTTCTCTAGTTAATGAGTCGTAGTTTTTGTATTCCAAAAAGCTTTTGTGTTTCACATTACCGGCTTATCAATATTCTAGCACAATAGCCAGAAATACCACTTATATTATCATCCTTATACTTGAAAATTGAAATACATGAAGCTGAGTCGTTGGACATATACACCAATTTTGCCCATATGCGTGTAGAGTTGTTGAACTCGGAGTTTTTTATTCGTGGATGCTTATGTTAGATCTAGAGTTGTTCAAGAAAATAATTATTGGCTCTTACCTCTCTTACATTTGCTACAACTTCTCCTGAGATTCATGTCAAGTTGAATATTTGCAAGTTATCTAATGATATTGATGTATTATTCATGCTGACCCTTGATCGATGATTTGTTTGCTTTTACTCAGATTACTGAATTCGTTGACACAAGCGCTACAGGCTACTGGCCTTGATCTTTCACAGGCCAGTATATCAGTGCAGATTAATCTAGGGAAGCGGGCAAACAAGGATGCTAAGGTATGAACCTTTTCCGACTTCTGTGTAGTCATTCACCGATCCTACTCCCTTTAGGATAATGAGATCAATCACGGTATTTAGCTGACCAATACTACACACATTTCACTCTAGGATACAGAAAATCCTCCACCTGCACCTGGCGATCAATTTATGGAGGAATTTCGGGATATAAACAATGATGAAGAGTTGGACCGAGCTCAAAAGAGGCTGAAAAAATAGATATAACTATGTATAGCATGGCAATACCAAGTCAAATCAACTCAAGTTTGCATCACCTTCGCGTAAATCAGTTGAGTGTATATCCTGCGTTTCTTTTGAGAACTTTCCTTTTTCCTTGTCTGTAGTTAAACACGAATTCGACATGTTCTGAGTCTCTGAAGTCAACAATTTATTTATATTTAGAAGCAATGTTGTTATGCTATGCTATAAATTGATGGGCAAAGTTTGTCTTTGCACAAATCTTGACGTCATATTCTAACTGATCGCCAGAATTTTGACCACAAAACGTAACGAATCGATCTTGATGTATCGTCATAGCTTCTTGTGTAAAAATTTCACAAACACATTTGATGATCTCAGATGTGTTATGTAAACACCCTATATTTTATTCAAATTTTCCATTTTATTGAAAAATGAAGAGATGGAAAAAAAAAAAAAAACTAAAGAGAAAAGTAAGGCAAGCAAATTGAAACGGAGCAAGAATAGTACATTTTCTAGTTAAAATCACATCAGTATTATACATAGAAACCTAAAAATTCATCAGATCACTTTTAGTTTTATAACAATAAGAGTACTTCAATCCACAAAACCTGACAATTACTGTTGGATGGTAAGCTTTACAAGCAATTGGGGTCATTTAACACCCTTCTGCTGGAAATCATGTTGAGCATAAGAAAAGGGCAGTCGGGGGCACGAAACATCCTACAGACTCGTTGGGGTGTAATGTATGCAGCTTACCATATGGCTGATTCCACAGCTTGAACTCATGACTTATAAGTCACATGGAAATATTGCTAAGCTTGACAATGACAGCAGTCGACCTCTGGTGTCTCCAGCTCTTCTTCTCATGAGTCACGCTATTCTGCAACTAGCCATAAAGAAAGACACATCAATCGAGTGGCTAAAACGTTTAGACACATTATCTTCGTTTCATGCTAATACCAATGGGAAGTTCAAGTACCACGAGGAGTTTCCGAGTGCATTTGGTTAATGCAGAGCTATAGCTGATTAACGTTTTCCAGCTAGCCTCTCTGTCATTAGGACAATAGCTCTAGACCAACCCTCCATCATCGAAATCCAGAAGCTGCATTTTAGTTCAAGATTCCCCGAGAACTTTCATCAGAAAAGCGTATTCATGAGCTGCTTCCTCGCATTGTCCAAAACGACCACCTTCACCAAAATGTCCTCCGCTCATGTTTGTCTGCAGTATAACTGAAGAAGAACACCTAGTGCACGTTTTATCTCGTATCTTGGCCACCCATTTTGCTGCTTCCCAAACGCCAACTCTGCTTAAAGACATAATATGATATCGATCCTTTCCAGGGAGTTTTCGTGAAGATCAAAATAAGATGTTGAGAGAAAGAATCTTAGCAGGCTGAAAATGCCTTAGCATTTCAGCCAAACCATTCAATAGACTCAAGTATTACATAAATATGATGTGCATTCTGACGAGAACAAAATTATACCTTGAGTCGTTTAATGAAGCTTTCACAAGCATCGACGGACAACAAACACCCTCAGGAATATTGTCATAAGGAGAATACTTCAAAATATATTCAAAGTGCGCATGTAGTTGAGGATTTCCGAATTCTTCGTAGTCTAGAACAGTGAGAGGCAAGGTGGGATCCAACAAGCTACTGCACACATCAAGGAAAGGAACCTGGGACAAACATTACATACATGAACAGCTATAATACATCAGCGTCAAACAAAAAATAAAGACACTTCCTGCCATCCAAATTAGACAGCGAGGTTATATTTAAACGAAAGGTATATTAGCTCTAAATTGCAAAGTTGAGGGGTATATTTGCCCCTTTTCCCTTTTAGGTTTATAGAGAGTTGTCTAAAGACACTAAATATTCTTTAGCTCGAGAGAAACTTGAAACAAAAGCAGACTGCATCTAGTATATATCGTCCCAAACCAAAGTATTTAGAATTCTTGTTTCCTTTCCCGCTAAAGAAGACATATATACGGAGACCAAATCAAACCATAATATGCAATATGAATCCAATTCAATGAATCTATAGGAATATGAAAGAACACTAAAGGATTCCCAAATTGGTGCTTACCTTCAGGATTGCAGCTTGAAAAAGTTCAGGGTGCATGTTAATTGCTGCCGAGACAAGAAGACTTCCTGCACTTACACCAACAGCTCCCAGCCGATGTTGATGAACATAACCCTCACTGACAAGATACTTGCCACATGATATGAAATCACTCACAGAGTTCAACTTGTTCATTCCGCTTCCAGATTTGTGCCACGAAGGATCTGGAGCACCACCACCTCTGCACAAGTAAAATATGTCACCTAATTGTTCTGTTACAAGAAATCACAAGCAAGGGTACTTCTTTCCAGACTCTCTGAAGCAAATTATGTTGTTAATTTGGTAGCCTATATCATTGCACCATTACATGCATTTGAAAAAGAGAGAAATTGACAGCAACAAATGGAACTTTGTGAGAGAGTGACCAAGCTAGAGTGTTTTTTCATCCTTACCATTGGAGTTCAATTCATGGACGGATAAGTAATGTTTCAAGGCAAACTAAATCACAAACGTTTTATCACTTCTATTGCATTGAGAAAATCAGTGATAAGTTATCAAACACAGCATAAGTTACCAAAATAACACAAGTGGCTTTCAAATGTTTGTAAAAGGTTAACCACTTCGAATGCATCTAAATCAACAGTTTCCTGTACATTCATTTTCTTTTCTCTTTTTCCTCTTTCTACTTCTTTCCTTTTCTTTGCTTTGGGAGGATGAAGCATAAGGAGTTCTGAGTGACTGAGTTAGCAGTTTCTCGACAAGCAAATCCCCCCAACCAGTGGCCAAACTATGCTCGGATAAAAGCTTTTTGAGCATTGCCAAATATCACAATCCAACTTACAATAAAAGAGAGCTGTACCTTACATCAGCAAATGCAATCAGCCAACCACGATCAAGTAAGCTCAGGCGGTCAACACACCAGCTTTTATCTAGCACTTCTCCATATGCTCCATATCCATGTAGAAGCCCAGGAGACTGACCCTTCTTATGTGCTTTGCGAGAGAATAAAATAGTTAAAGGAATCCTTTCACCATCATGCGATATCACTTCTTTTTCTTGACAGGAATAAATTTCAGCAAAGTCACTCCATCTGTGGACTCCATTATTCTGAATTTTGTGTTCCTTCTTTAAAGGGGTGCCCAGAAACTCATTTCTGCTCCTCTCTCCATTGTTAGAGTGGTATTTTGTATTGTGGGAAACGTTAATTACTTCTTCTTGATGAATGACAGAGAACGTTCTTCTAGACATATCATAGTCAACAATAACATCAGGCATCTGCATTTCAAAAGAGAAACACTGAGAAGCATATAATGTTATTTGGCCATACAGGTAGACACCTGCTAGGCTGCTACGGTAGGTAGAGAAGTCTTTAACTATGACAGGAATAGGGAGGAAAGGTGTATTTCTGATGGAATTATCAAAATTTTCATGATGCTTTATTAAACCCAACTAGTTTAGGCTTGAGGCGTAATTGTTGGGTTCTTTTTCAAAGAAAAGAACAACTTAGTAAAAGAAGAATTTATATGTGGAAACAAGCTGAATATTCATACGATACATCATGATTAGCATTTGAGATATTAAGACTACATAACAGAGATCTGCACTAAATTTTCCAGGGAATATAGCGAGAATACCTCAAAGTGGAGTAATATGGGTACAAGCTTATCAATCAATAACGTTGATTAGTCGAATACAAGAATAAGTTGAAAAGCAAAAATATGACAACCAACAGGATGCAGAGCATTTGAAGACTATTAACAATATTACCACTGGGAAGGAAAAAAAGTTGACAAGCATTACCACTGGGGAAGAAACAACAGCGCGGTATACAGATCGTGTGAAATCATGATTTGACCCTGGAGCTATTGTACACATATCAGAGGGAAGAGGAAAGAACCATGGGTTAAGTCCATCAATCTTCATTTGTTCCTGCACAACACGTAGACATTAAGAAACAAGGGAATTTTAATTAAGGGTGACAAAATAGTATCAAAATTAAAAAAAAAAGTGACATAAGTTTTAATTATACCTCACAATTGATGATCGTTCGCATATCTACAGAGCATATCGATGAGGAACCCTCTTTGTTGAGAAAAAGCACCAGATGTTCATTAAACATGTCCATATCTTGGATGAAAATGTCCTCGCTGGGTTCTATAATATTCTGCGGAGAAAGTTTGCAAATGATTAAAGACCAAAAACTCATGAATCAACATGTGTTCATATAACTCAATTTTGCACTTGCCCAGGTAGAAAAGTTTAGGATCCAAATAACCAACATATCATAATTATGCAGGCAGATAACGAGCATGTAGCCTCAAATTACAACCAAAACGACTAGCTGGAATGAGGTACACAGCAAAACTACAAATCCTTCATCAGCCTTAAATCCATGTGAAAGAAATGTCAAAGTATCCACTAGATAGAACGATTTTGGAGAACACTTTGAAAGCTGTATATTCATGCATGTATAAATGTTTTATCAGCAGCGGTAGCCCCTTCTAGAATCAATATATGATGGAAGAAGACATACCTGCAAACAAGTTGACTGCAAGTTCTCAACAGGGCATCTAGCCAAATAATACTCTCCACTCAAAGGTGATTCCTCACCAGCATTAGGAGAATTAGTGAGAACATAGAAAAAGCCATGATGATGTTCAAGAAAGTATTGCACACCAGACACACGCTTACAAAATCTTTGAATTCCAGTCTGCAAATTGGTTGCATTGATGACATAAACCTGCAATAAGACAATGAGCAAAACTAAGAAAACATCCTCACCAATACAAAGAAGTATCTATGCCGTGCTAGGGGTAAATTTCTTGCCTCAGATGAAGTTCTTGAATTAGAATTCACAGTAATAAACTTTCCATCTTTTGTACTTGCTATATCCACACAGAAACTGGAATCATTTTCTACAAACAATGGGACATTATGAACAGAATCTGATCCCAGTTTTATGCAATGTACCCTGGCCACATAATGTTTAAGTAATAACACATCCGAATATCCAATTTAAAGTAGTAATCAACTAATCATAGTATAGAGAATTGCCTGTAAGGGCGTTGGTTCTGGTCGGATAATGTATAGAAGAAAGTACAAGAATCTTGAGCCCATTCCACACTGACAACCCCTTCAACTCCCAGGGTTGGCAGAACACAGTCATTTCGGAGGTCCTTAATCTGAAGCACAAACTGCTCACTACCAGTAACATCAATTGTGTAAGCAAGATAATTGTGGTCTGGAGACACTCTACATGTACCCACATGCACATATCCTACAAAAAACAAGAACAAATCAAAACATAATGGAAACACTATCTTTAAAACTAACCACACCTAAAACAATGGCCAATGATTTGCATGCATATCATGAAGCCTATAAGAATATTCTCCTCCTTTTCTCTTAAATTTTAACACTTCATTGTCCTGTTAACCTCAATATGCTGCTATGGATATTTTTCCAGAGTGGATTCAGTCCTTAAACCAATACACAAGGATAGAAAATTGATTATAAGTGCTTGGAAAAGAAACAAGATGAGCAAAAAGTGGTTGTTAAAAGAATAATATGAAAATGATATACCATATCTTTCTGCAATTTCATTCCAGTCAAGCAGTATTTGTTCCTTCCCAGCAACGCCAATCACATAACTTGATACAGTCTTCATCCAACCTTTGCTCTCAGCAGCCAGTTTCCTACATAATACTGGAAACTCCTTCCCTTCTGGAATGTACTGGTAGTATAACCTGTTAACAACCCAAAAAACAGACCGATAGTCAACCAACAAAGAAAGAATTTCGTAGCAAGTAGATTCTCGAACAGAATTTAGAATCAATGTTCATATCAAAGCATCCGCTAAACTAAATGCAGCCTGTAGCATTTAGATCATTTCACAAAATACCCTTATTAATTCTTCAGAACATATGGTACATACTTCAAGACATTATTTTAACAACTCCTTAGTTCACACAACAGTTACACTAATTCTTAATCTGATTAGGCTATTTCTATTGCATAACTCAATCATTAAGTATTTGCAGATTTAATGCAGATTGTACATGATGTAATAGGCTTAACATGGACTTAAATCTACTTCATATAGAAAAATAATAGTTGATTTGTATCATTTTGATTAAAGTGGTTTCTTTTTTACTAAATTTATGACTCGTCTTCTCTAATTCAAATAGAATGACTTAGTTCGACTTATAGAAAAAATGAAAAGTCGACAGTCTGAATTCTTTAGTATTCGTGCAAGGAACATATGAAAGAGATCATTTTTACGCGAACTAAACAAAAGTGAACAACAACGTTTGATACATGGGAATATAAAATGCATAATACATACACAAACATTCAAACTTAGCATCAGCTTACAAGTAAGCACTCCAACTTTGAGAGTACACATCTAGACACCTTAACTTGGTCTCAACTAACAACTTAAACACTCCAACTCATCCCCATTGTATCTCTTGGACTCCCGACGCTAACTTGACACATAAACATTGAACATGTCTAGTTGATCATTTTGTAAGTTGGAACGTTTAACTAACACAACGGAGGCTAGTTGATGTGCCTAAATATGCATACTCAAAATTGAAATGCTTAATTATCACGTCAAGTTTGAGTGTCTGTTTATATATTAGCTCAATTTAAAATTACAAACTTTTCCTCTCAAATCATATTTTCATATAAACTACCTCATTCTTTAACATTTCAAACTTATATTTAAAACACTATTGAATCAATCATTTTCCCACATTTTCATACAATGAAAGCATATAAAAAAGTTGAAAAATTGAGTTTTTAGACAAACCAAGGACCCCATAGTTCAGGTGGAGTAGAAATCTTGGAAGGCATTCTACTAATCATCTCAGAAAACAAACTCTTTTGCATTTCCTCAGTATCCTTCATAAAAGACTGAGCATATAAATTTTCTTGCTGAAGATAGTTGATGAAATCAGGGTCGTTGGTTTTGCGCATCCAATGGTAAGGATCATTCCACGTAACCCCATGTGCAGAAACAGTAAAAGGAAGCTTTTTTGGCACTGGTGGAGAAGTAATTTGAGGTGAAATTTTTTGGTGATGGTTCTTGATTAGTGTGGAGAAAAGGGTAAATTTTATGATGGAGAATGAGTTTAGAGAAAAGGGTATTTTGGTCCTTTTGATTGAGATGAAAGCTGAGGAAGCCATTGTTAATGGCGAAGGATAGGCGTGATTCTGGCGAACGGGATTCGCCGGCGGCGATGGTAGGGTGGAGGTAAAGAGTGAAAAAGTCAAGTTGGTCCTTGTAGTTTTGGAGTGTTTCAATTTGGGAAACTATTTAATGTTTAGTTATTTTTAATGCATAAATAATATTTTTAACTATGAAGTGCGGGGAAAAATCTAAGAATATTTATCGATTTGAATTTCATCAATCGTTCTTAAAGTTTGTATTGACAGAGAGTTGAAATCGAGAATTGCTTATGAAATTTAAAATTTTTGCACTTGAATTTTGAAAGTGATACAAGTTTCAATCTAATGAATTATTAATAGAGTTTGAAACTTCAACAAATTGTTACATTTGAATATAAAAGTTTATAGTCATGAATCTTCCTAAAATATAATACAATAGTAGCGACATGAATTGTGACGGAATTGTTGAGATTCCTTTATTCTTAACCAAAAGTCTCAAATAAAAAGTCGTGTTGAGAACGTACGTTCATTTCCATTGAAACAAAAAAGTAACCTTGATAAAATGTTGATGCCCAGGATCGAACTGGGGACCTTCAGTGTGTAAGACTGACGTGATAACCACTACACCACACCAACTTCATGTCACTAGAATTGCAAGTTTTTCTATTTATATACTAAACTCATATAACAAACAAAAGAATAATAATATATATAATATAATTATATTAAATGAAAGAAACTCACACATAAACTTAGATAATTGTTTCTTGATAAAAAGTATTAAAATGGAATGGGGAAAGGAAAGGCGCAAAATCATGGATTACTGGATCTTGAAAGTTATCATCTTAATTTTTATTTATCGTTTATTTTTTTAATATCTAAATCAGACATGTCTTAATTCGCTAACGTAAATAAAAGTGTCAATTATTATTAAGTACTTATATTGTTATTAGAACTTAGTGCATCAAATTTTAATAGGGATTAAATTGCTAGAAGTGCACACTCTATTATCCTCCAAGCAAGGAAACAAAAGAAAAATAAAGACGATGGTGTTATTACTAAAACATTTACCTTGTTCTTTAAAGTTCATAGAAAATTTGGACCGATCATTAGCATAATCAGTGTGATCGTTTGTCCTTTGTAGAAAAGACTCATATGTTAAATATGTTGCATCATCGAGTGCTAAACATTATCATTAGAGACTAAGCTTATGCCATTAGTCAATAAGGAAAAATCTAACTTATTTTTATAACGATAAAGATAGATTCAACCCAATTATTCTATTTCTCATAATTCAATGACAAATTTGGACTAGCCATTCGCGGCGACAAGGCAACCATTTTGTCCTTTGTAAAAAAAACTCTTGTGATTAAACACATGATATCAAGGAGTGTTAAACATTACCATTAGAGACTAAGCTTCTACCATTAGTCAACAAGGATAAACCTACCCTAACGATAAAGATAGATTTAACTCGATTATCTCATTTCTCATAATTTAATAAAATTTTTGGACCTTTTCCATACGAAAACTTAGTACTTGAAAATATCAAAAAGTGGACATATTTGCAAATTTCAAGGGATTAGTTAAACATCCCTCATGGCCAAATACTACATTCATGCTCCTCAGGTACGGAGAATTTGTCTTTCGAGAAAAACTATATATTAAAAAAATAACTTGTTATGTGTGACACCAAATCTCAATATATATTTTATTGGGGATTGAGAAAACTAATTTGACTACAATTTATAAATTGCCTACATTAAATAAAATATATATAAAAAAAACGTAAAATTTGTCCCCTTGGAACTAAACTCAAAACTTTTTCTTGTTAATACCAAAAATTAGGGTTTAATGTCGGCCATAAACAAAGCTACAACACGACATAATCCTCATTAAACTCTTAATTAATTACAACAAAATGTAACACACGTCAAAATTGTATTCCCAAAAATCTACTACATTTTTATACTTGATATCGGGAATTACTATATGATACTATATTGAGGATTCATACAAACTAAAAAGTCGATTCTGACTAGTTTGAGATTGTTATTTTATGGGCGAATGGACTTGTTATGTATGGGGCGTCGTCGTCTAACCCAATGATAGTCCATTGTGTAGAAATCAGAAGTGTCTTTCCCTTCAACCCACTCTTGCCTTGTCCCTTTTCTTGCATGTACCACTTCTCCCTCATGTTCTTTACCTAGACACATGTGCGATCATATCGCGCAAAATATTAGTCGTTTTGATAAAATAAATTTGAAATATCTTTAAGTTCTAGATAAATAAAAGGTCATTGATCATTATTATGTAACATATTATCGTTAGTGCTAATTAGGTGAGACGATATATATACATAAGTAAGGGATCGAATATATGTAAAAATAATTACTAATATCTTTTTTAAGGGGCATGCAAAATAATATTAATTAAAGGAAAAAAAGATAAATATACCTCTGAACTATTGTAAATGGTATACAGATATCCTCCGTCATACTTTTGGGATATTGATGCCCCTGCCGTCCAAAAACTAGAGCATATATACTATTTATACTAAAGGACATACACGTGTCATAATCTTATCCACCGACCCAACATTTATTAAACATTGGATCGACGGATAAGATTGTACCATGTGTCCCTATTTAGTCTTCCGTTAGAGTGAAGGGCATATATGCTCTAGTTTTTAGATGACAAGGGCACCAATGTCCCAAAAGTATGAGAGAGGGTATCTGCATACCATTTACGATAGTTCAGGGTATATTTATCATTTTTCCCTTAATTAAAAGACATAGTAGGTTGTAATTAAGTTGGTCAAAGTGTAGACAAATTGAAACATAAGTTGAGTATTTTAAGATTTCTACACCATATATTAATAGTATTTTTTCTGTTCCAAAATAGTTGTTACTGTATTTTATTTTCAGAAAGTAAATTTAATTAATTTTTTAAGTTAAATTAAATTAGATTAAGATTTGGATATTCAGAACTATCTAAGAAAGCATTATACATTGTAATTTTTTTTATATTAATATGATGAAAAAATATATCTTAAACTATTGATGAAAAATTATGTAATTTGATTCTTGAGATGAAATAAAATGTGAAAAGTATTATAAGACGAAGGCAACATTATATTAAGTGAAAAGACTACTAGACATGAAATTATGGAATTATCAGCATATCAATGGAAGGTTTGTTAGTTAATTAGTCAAAGTAGGAGGATTCTTAAAAAAATTAAACTTTTATTTATCTTATATATATATATATATATGTCATGCATATGAAACCAGTTAATATTTTTATAATAAAATTACTAAATTATATACATGTACCTGTTAATTGTGCAGTGTTCAATGGTACCAAATTCATTTGATTTCCATTGCTTTTCACCTGCTTCACACAAATGATAACATGTCATTTTCATGAAGAAAAAAAATACATACTATATGCTGGAAAATACATACTATAAATAAGTTTTTTTTTAAAAAAAAATTATTTTTATATATGAAAAAAAAACTCATTACATTTGGATGTTCATTGAACTTGAGCTTCCTAGGACTTGAAGGGAGAGTCATTTTCCCTTCATGATCTGTCAAAATTACAATACAATGAAGTTAGCAATGATATATAAGCAAAAGGAAAAAAAATATTCAATGGATAGAAAAAAAAAGGCAAATGATAGCTCGGTGCACAAAGCATGTTGTATTAATAGAGTTCGTGAAAGGGTCACATGTTACACTCCAAGGAATGTGACGTAAACAGTCTACCCTAATGCAAGCATTAGTGATTAAACTTCCACAACTCGAACAGTAACCTATAGGTCACATAGAAAAAAGAATTACCTAACAATGGAGCAGCACATGAAAATGGAAATAACATGAAAAGAGTGAAGCAAATGAGTAGAAGAGTAAGGATGAATTTTTTTATTTCCATTGTTATGGTATTAATTTGATGAAAGTGTAATTCTTTTTTGAAATGAAAGTAGGAATATATAAGAGTCAAAGAAGGAAGGAAGGAAGGTAAAAGCCCACAAAGTTCAATGAAAAGAAGAGAGAAAAAAGACATACACAAAGCACAAAACTCACACTTCCAAAAATAAATTAAAATAGGTGTAAAACTCCATATATATTTATATATATATATATATATGAGTTTTGCTTTTTTAGGAACCTTCACACCATTTGGGTTGATTTTGTGTTACCTAACATCTTGCCCCCTTTGTAGGCCGGGGAGAAGTCAAGTAGGGTCAAATGAGTTTATCTTAATCTCATTTTTTTTATGTATATACAGTAAATGTTGAATTTCTGTTGGTTTTTTCATGTGTTTATACTTATTTTATATTTTGAATCTTGTTTGTGAAAATCTTGAATTTGCCACTGTAGGACAGTAATAAATGGAGGTTATATTTGCTGACAAAATTGTTACACTTCTTCACGTATGTTTGTCTAGCTAGAAAACCCAATATGATAATTTAATTTAAGTGTTTTTGGATAAAAGGTTCACTTGCATTAGCAGACTTGTGAAATGATAAAAGTTAAATGTCCTTAACTCTTAAATCTTAATTAATGATTTCGAGTTTGAGTCTTGAAAATGACGTCTTCTTTGATAAGGAGCACTAAAATTCACCATATTATATTAGACTGTTTATGATGCAAATCCAAATTAGTCATGCTAGTGGACTATGAGCACCAAATGCTCAAAAAGGTAAATGAGTTTCAAATTCTACAAATAAAATTCCATGACGATAATTATCTTCCAATAGCATGGTTATTTGTGAATTTTACACAAATTTATTAGTAGTAATAATAAATAAATTGGTCTTTAAAAGAAAAAAACCAAATATATGCAATATATTTGGGCTCAATGGGCCTTGACCAAAAGAGTCAAAAAGACAAAAATCTCTCACAATAATTAACCATAGAAAAAGAAGGGACATTAAACATGAGTATACATGATATATTGTATAAGAACAAAAATGTAGGAAAAAGGTTTTACATCAGTAGCCTTCATGTCTTTAATAAAACAAAGGGAAAATTGACATAAATAGCCGCCCATCCAAATAATAGCCGATAGATATATAATATACACATAATATATATGTATATTGGCTAACGGATGTAAATATTTTTGGCCACGCGACCAAATGTGTAATTTCCCCTACAACATGCCACCCCTAAGAGAACAATGAATATCAACATGTATGCATACTTACAATACTCAAAAGATTCAAGATTTAAGGTCTTGTTATGTATATTCTTTAACTAAGAACAACAATTTAGAATCTACAACACAGAAGGCCTTGTTTCCAACCTTTTTGTTTACTTAAACGCCTCCGTTCCGCTTTCGCCATTCTTACTGGACTGCTATTCCATTCATTTTGTAAGCTGTGAGGAAGTAAGAATGAAAATGTTCATCATAAAGTTACTAATATCAGTATCAAATTTGAAAAGAAAAGGATAAGTAGCATACACTGGGAAGGCAAAGGATCTGGTGCTGGTTGTGCTGCTTTCGGATCGAAGAGATACGCTGCCGGAGTAAGATATAGGCCCTGAGTAAGTGATGGAACCTGATATAGGACCTCTTGCTGCAGAAAAACTTGCCTCTCCATCAGCAAAATGACCTTGTCCATTAGCCATATTTTGGGATTCAAGGTGTTGTTGGTGCACGTTGTCAGCAGTATTAGCAAAAGGAACTTGACTTGAAGCTGAATTATTATCTGAGTTTCCGTTCTTGTGAACGGAGACAGCCTTTGGCATGTGAGAATGTTCAGGCAAGTTTCCGACTCCTCCTTCCGTGGTTTTTGTTGATTCTGGTTTGGTAAGATTGACGTAGAAAATACTAGTTCCCACTCCCTCTTTGCTATTACCCTTGTTGTTCGTTTGATCGGGTGCAGAAACTGCAGTTTGGCTTTTCAAAGTTTGCTCAGAAGGCACCTGCAGTTCAAGAAACGAAATCCTTACTTTATCGACCAGAAGAATGTGTCTGAAGAACACACCTAATTTCCGCGAATCTGTAAGAATGATAGGAACAAACCTGATCAGGTTGCAGTGTAGATTGATCACCATCAGAAGTCTTTATATTGGACTCTTCCACACGAACAACGGTATTAGGAGATGATGGTTTTTCTGATGCATTAGTAGTACATTTTGAACCAAAAATCATCAACAAATCCTCGAGATAAGAATCCTTATCCGCATCTTTGTTGGCATTATTCTCTAGGGACGGATTGAAACCGTTTGGAACAGGTGCTCCAGTAGCTTCTATTTCTGTATCACGAGTCACAGCAATGTTCTTGGCATCTTTGAAAGATGAATCTTGAGATATAGATGCAATGGTCGACCCCATATCGACACTTTTCCTGGTGTTGCTCTGCTGTTCTTCATCAGCATCAACAGAAACAGACGTGCTCGGTTGACCATCTTTCCAGCTTTCGATTAGAACTTTATCTACTGCAGGTACACCCTCATCCATACATATGTCTTTAGCCATGTTAAAGTTGTTCTCTCTATAGCAAACTGTCAATTCAGGAAGCTCGTGATCGGTGACACCTTTATCAGAATAAAAATGTTTGTTATTCTCAAACAACTCGGAGTGAGAGGTAAAAGGCGAATCAGAGTCGATAGTTTCATTTTCTTTGTCATCAAGGAAACCAAGGGACTCATATTCTGGAATATTCCATGGCTGATCTCTATCTTTTGTATCACATTCAAATGGATTTCCACCTCTCTTGCTATGGATGATATTCGACAAGCCTCCATTTTGATCATCCGTAACACTTGCAGCAACAATTTCATTTGTTTCACTTGAGGGAATATCACACACAAAAGGATTTCCACCTCTATTGTCACCGTTTATCTTGGACAGATCTACATTATGATCGTCCCTCACATTTGAACCCTTAATCTCATTGTTGTTATCAAAAAATATAGAGTCATCGAGTTCAGGAACTTTCCAGAATTCATTCCCATCTTTTCTGTCACACGCCAAAGGATCTTCCCTATTGTCGTGGACATTTGTATTTCCGAAGTCATTTACAGGAAAACCTAAAGAATCTGCTTCCTTGTAACCATTTGAATGACTTAATATCCCATTCTGATTTCCATTCATCGTAGGCTTCTCTTCAGTTGTGTCAAAGACGCTGTCGTTGCATTCAAATGTTTTAGAATCATGCACAGAGACTAGTGTGGAATCACTAAACAGAGGATGATTATCTGCAGTCGAAGTTAACTTCTCAATGCAGGGATCAAGTTTTGTAAGAATACTAGTGTATTAAAATCCATCGATGAACTCTTAAAGTAAAGATATCAAGAAATAGACGAGTAGTACAACAAAATGAAACATCTCGACATTTATCAAATGAAAATCTAGAGTCTCCAAACGAAAGAAGAAAGCATCAGATTAGCAATCCTTATTACTCGAAACTAAATAGAAAAATACACACATTTGCTCAATACTACGGTGTACATGGATCCTTTATTTCACACGAGTACTTTGTACTTAAGAAGCTGCAGTATAAAGAAGAAGCACAGTTTGTACACTTACGAGTTTTCATTGTTCACATCAGCTGGTAGAGTCTGGAGAAGTCTCAAAAGCTGTGAAGCAAACATCAAGAAGTAGTCGCGGAGAAAAATAGCTCACAGACCTGTGTCAACATAAATTTCAAGAAAATATTTAAGAACATTCGCTGAAATCTCCTCAAGTTTAGTACATGTCCAGCAGAATTCTGAAGAAAATGCTACTATACATAACAGGCCAAACGACATTAATCGTTAATGAATACTGATAATGTCCAAGAATACAATATGAAGCAAACTTAGCGTTCAACAGGTCTGATAAACCACTACAACAACAACTATGCCTCGGCCCCAAACAAGTTGGGGTCGGCTGAGTTACCACTACTTAACATAAATCAACCTGCAAAGGAGGATAGAGTGTACACAAACCTTACCCCTACCTTGGGAGGTAGAGAGACTGTTTCCGATAGACTCTCGACTCAAGAAAAAGCAGATACTAAGGAAAACATGACAAGCATTCTGAAAAAAAGGAACAGTAACAAGAAAAATACTACGACTACTAGTAAGGAAGGATAAGCAAGACAACGCTCTACTACCTGCTAACCTTCTACCGTAATCCGTGTCCATAAATCAGGTAAGACTCAAACTTGTAAATGCCACCCATAAGTTGAGATTTTGTAACAAAGAAACAAAAAGGTGCAAAATCATCTCAATCACAAGATGCCAATAATTTGAAATAAAACAAAGGGAATTCACTCAGACCTCATCTTTATTTTGTCTTTTCAAGACATCCTTTATTTTAAATTCTTGTCCTGACAATGAATAGTGAATTTATGGTCTAATTACCAAACAACCTGGAATCTTAACTTTGTCCATCTGTGAAGAAAAAGACAATAAGTGGTCACCATTTTGAAAATTTGTATAAAAAGCTCAACAACAATAACGTATCCAGTGTAATCCCACGAGTGGAGTCTGACGAGGGTACATCGTACACTAACCTTATCCCTACCTCCGAGTAAAAGCTAAGTCAAAAGATCAATCTCTACCATCCATTTTGTTCTTCAGCTATACTACCTAATCATAATCAACTAGATCTAGTTCTAATTCTTTAAATAGCAATCTCTTCACAAAAAGTTAAAAAAAAATTGTAAAAAAAAAGAAAGATTTCTTCACAATGATACATTCTGACAGGTTGTCATAGGATCCCAAGAAAATTCACAATCTCATAAAATCCAATAAACAAAGAATATATAACAAAAGGACTGTTAATTATTAAATATAAAATGATTATAATCAAATGATTTAACATATAAACTTTACCTTTCTAAAAGTGAATCAAAAGAATTTTCCTCTTTATCCCTTTAGTACAAACTTCTGTCTCTGGGTTTCACTGCAAAAAGCATAAAAACACCAAATTTCATCAAAATTAAAGACATAAATAGTACTTAAAAAAAAAACAAACAATTTTTACCATGAAATTTGAAAATCCAACTACAAAACCAAACTATAAGCTAGCCTTTGACTATAAATTGTCTTCAAATATCTATTTGGCAATATATTTTGATATGATCTTCAAATAATTTCAAGTTCTCAAAAACTAGTCTGACAAGCTCAGACCAGTTTTTTGGTTTTTGGGACTTTCCATCACAAAAATCCAATCTTTGCCATGAAAATTGAAAACCCAACTAGAAAACCAAACTAGGCTAGCGTTTGACCATAGATTTTGACCTGATCTTCAAATATTTTCAAGTTCCCAGAAATTGGCCTGAGCTTGTCAAACCAGTTTTTGACTTTTTGGGACTTTCCCTCACCAAAAGATTAAATTTTTTCCAAGTAAAATGCACGTCCAAACACAACATTTAAATTCTAAGAATCACAATTTCAAAGAACTCAAATCAATCCACAAATACACAACACATTCAAGAAAACAGAAAAACAGAGAAAGACAAGAAAACCTTTGTATTGTTGGGAAGAAGAAGAAGAGGATGTTGGTGAATAATATACAGTAAGCTCATGAAACGACAACAAATCATGCCGTTTTGAATTGCTTCATTGAGTATTATAGAGAGAGAAATGGTCTAAAAAGGAGATAGTTAGAAAACGCAATGAATGTGACAGAAAAGAGTTTTAAGTAACAAGTAAGAAGAAATAAGAGAGAGTGGGAAGCCAGCAAACATTAATATACAGCTAATACAAAAATAAAATTGTCAACTCTTTCTCTCTCTATACGTATATACATACACAAACAACATAGTATAAATTAATAGAACCACATATTATAAGTACTAAATAACATCTTATTCCTTCTAGTTTTCTATTTACCAAAAATCTCTTAAAAATGATGTTTGCGGGATACACAGCGTTGTGCACGGGATACATTAAGTTTGATACATTTCACATAGCGGGATACATAGCGTTGTGCACGAGATACATTAGGTTTGATACATTCCGCATAGCGGATACATAGCATTGTACACGGGATACATGAGGGATACATAGCGTTGTGCACGAGATACATAACGTTTGATACATTCTACATAGCGAGATACATAGCGTTGCGCACGGGATACATGCGGGATACGTAAGTAAATAAGAGATTTTTGAAAATTTTGAAATAAGTAGGGATAAATGGATATTAAGGTAAGTAAAAGAGTGTAGTTAAGTAATTTGTCCAACATATAATACCTATTATAATACTCCCTTCCCTTCCATCCATCTTTACTCGTCAACGTATATGTTTTGGACAACTTTTAAGATTCAATTAAAGTCAAAATTCATTTGGCACTTGATTCTGATACCAACTTGTCACGATCTAACTTTTTTTGAGACACATCATCATGATTTGAGAAATTGGATCATGACAGATTGGATACATTTATAAAAACATCTATTTTTAATATAACGAACGAAAATAGAGTGTTAGCAATTAATATACACTTATTGTCATTTTTTTTTTGTACGTGAAAAAAAACAGAGTAGAGTCAGTTGGTCATAATAATAAAGGTGCAGTGCACGAAAGAGAGGCACAAAAAAGGCATTAATTATTGTTCTAAACTCAAAATAGATTAAAAAAAATACATTTTCAAAAAAATTAAAAAGAGGACGGCAGAGTTTACCGGAAAAATAGATCAGTCGATTCCGATTCCGATTCCGATTCAGCTCGACGGCGGCGGTACAGAGTACTTATAATTTTAGAATTTTTTTTGTAGTTTTGTTAGATCCATAGAGAAAAAGGGATATTTGGGATTCTGACAATGTAAGAGCTGACTTTGTATGAGTATTTTTTTTAATGGAGAGAAAGGGCACAAGAGATAGTCAAAAGGTGAACTTCATTTGGGACGAAGCTGTTTGGCCGCATTCATACATATCTGTCTCTTTACTTTCTTCGTTGAGTCGAGGGTTTATCGAAAATGAGTCTTTTCAGTTTCTTAGGATTTTTTTAGTTGAAAAAATATATTATTTTGAAATTAATTATTTTGAGATTATCAATTTTATTATAATTAAATATGAATAAATTTATCATAAATAAAATTAAATTTGAAATTAGTCATTTCTTATCTCTCATCTCATATCATCAAGCGAGCCCTTAAAAGGTAAATCTACATATAAACTATGCTTATGATGCTTTTTAATTGAGTATGGTCTATTAAAATTTATTTCTCTAACTCTCGAGATAAGGATAAAATTTATTTACATATTATTTTCTTTAACTTAGAGTTAATGTATAAGATTATAAATACAATTTAATTCGAGTTTAAATGTCCAATAAATACACTTCTTAATTTAAGTATTAAAAAAATAAATTTGAGAAATTATGTAAACAGTATCATAACTTTAGAGTGAACTGTTTGTCATTATTAACGAATAATCAGAAGTTTCACCTATAAGTTTTTTCTTTACAATTGGACAAATTGGTCTATATGACTTTAAATTTGACATTCAATATTTTAATGTTGATTCTAATAATGATTTTTAATGATTACATTCAACTCAAATATTCAATAAATTTATTGTATTTTCAATAATCAAATTCAATAATTGTTTGGTTTAAATTTCTTCAACCAAATTGATTGATCACAAATAAATAATTTTGAGTTGTAGTTGAGAGATTAAAGTGTTGGACTATTTCGAATTCGCGTCGCGTAGAAGCTCATTTGAGGAAACACACTTTTTATTAATGATTTTTTTCATATCCAAACTCAAATTCGAAAACTTTGATTAAGGAAGGAGTAACTCCATCCCTTTCACAGTGTCCGTTGGTGGTAACTTCCAAAATTTTTCATTATACGTCTCTTTATAATAATATTACAAATTTATTTTCTGCATTTACTCCTTTCATGTGTTGGTAGCTATATTAAATGTTTATCCAAGGACCACTAATTTTGTCCTACATGTTTATTTTAATTTATTAAGAACAAATACACTCATGAGTACGTATAATTATTTTTTTCCTAAACAAAATACATTTAAGAATGTCTATTTCTGGGTTCGACTACACCTAACTGTCAAATTGTTAAATGTATGCACACAAAATACATTTAAGAATGTCCATTTAAATTCACAATTTGGTGTGCAAATTGTTCTTTCAATCATATGAAGTATGTTAAATTAATGCATAATTTAAGAGAAGATTACTAAGTTCTGCTTTATTAAATGTAGATATATTCATGAAAAAAAATAAAATTAAATGTATAATTGTATATAGGTAAAAGTATTCAAAGCAAGACTATATTACCCAACACATGATAAGTGTAGAGAGAATTGTAATCAATCGTAGAATGTATCAAGGCTGGTTCGTCAATCAACGAATAGTTAGACCATTCGAAAGTTACATACTCTTCAAACGTCCTTTGAAATATAGACTCTAGATCATAAAGATTTGAAACGATTTATACGAGTCGTTCATCACTTCTCTCTAGCAATATCAACCACCTCATTCAGAAGAATCAAGAATAAAGAATGAACAAAGAACCTCGCCCCACGCTCCTGTCCTACTCTAAATCCAGTCGATTTGTTGCTGAAGGTGATCAAAAAGATTCGAGGATCATTTTGGAGCACACGTGTCATTTTCACTATAATGCGCTTGAATCCGGTCCATACCTAACAACTTACTAGTTAAGATTCTATGCATGTCATCATTTCAAAGAAACAATAATTATAATTTAAAAAATAAAATATAAAACTGGAAAGCATTCTTTATTCTGACCACACAATTTTTTTTTTAAAAAACAAACTTTTCTTTAATTCTTTTAAAAATAATAATATTATTATAGTAGAAAAATGGATGTCAATGATGAGTTACACGTACAAGATAATAGGAGCCTTGCTATTTTATATTTATTAACTCGATTAATTTATATATATACATAATATTATTCTATATTTCTATAAAAAAAAATTGTTTTCATAATTTGAATCTGTAACCTCCTAATTGATCACATATGCAATAACTTTATCGACTATTATATTATTATTTTTTTGCCTAGTAAGACTCAGACAGACGTAAGAGTCTCATGAGGCAATAAAGCAACATAAAGTAAATTAATTTAGGCTCTTGTTCTGAATTAAATAGACATTATTATTAAGGGACAAAATATGTTACACTTGTGTGCTCAATTTTGTTTTCATCGTTCTTTCCATACAACAAAATATTTCAATACATTTTGACAAAAATAATAATGGAGTTATTAATGGAGTACGCTAATAAAGCATTATATACCATGAAAAAGACTTTGCTTGTCTGCCAATGCTTTTTTTGTTTCCGTGTATACGTGTATTGAAGTTCGACTATTTTGAATTTACACTGCATAAGATTCCATTCAGGGGAAGTGCTTCCTATCAAGAATTTTTCCATTTACAAGGCTCGAATTCGAAACCTCTAATTAAGAAAAAAGCAACTTCGACTCATCCGCTGCACCACATTCGTGATATCATGTCGGCCAATGTAAAAATGCTTTTTACAATGTGTCTACTTTAAACATTCGAAAAAACATTTGTTTCTATTTTATTGTACTTATTATACCTTTTAATGAAATAAAAAAACACCAAAAGCATAGAAACAGCAAAAAAAAAAAATAGAATAGGGAAATACTAATAAAACTATAATATCATCGAAATAGATCATACTGATTAATTTAGGTTCACACAAAATTATAACGTTTAAACCAACAAAGCTTAAATTCTTATCCACCTTTGGGTGAGGCTGGGAGGAGGAAGGAATTTATCGAAAGAATCGTGTGCCTTTTCCCCCCAAATAGAATAGAATAGATAAATATAACCTAGGCAGTAGGCAAGAGAGATCAACATGCACCTTTGAATTGAGGTCGCTGGCATAGAAATTCATATTATTTCAACAAAACTTACTTTAAACCAAAGAAAAAAATCTAATTTCCACGTAGTTTATACACATAGCCCTTGTTATTATTTTCTCGATTGATTTGACTATAGGTTATAAAATAAAAAAGATAAAGATAATAAAAGTCAACCATACATTTACAGTTAACCAATACAGATTGAAAGTACAATAAACCTTGGCATAATTCCAAAATTTTGACTTACACTCTTCTTTTATATACTACAAATTGAGGATTTCTCCGGTCTCAAATTATCTATCGTAATTTTTTTAAAATAATTATTTTAAATATGAAGACATAATTATGAAATTATATTTTGATCTATAAAAAAAGAATAAAATAATCAAAAAAAATTCTATACTTAATATTTTTAAAGAAAATATATACAAAAGTAAAATACGATAAATTATTTGAGACGAAGGGATATATAACAAGGGAAATTTTAATTTGTTTGGTATCATGGGGATACAGAATGGTCGGTTCACTTATTTATTAAAGTCAATGAAAACATATAAGAGAACCTGTTTCCATGTTTTCATGCAAATGTGAACTTTATGATATTTTATTAATTAGATCCAAAATTCATTTTTTTTAATTCATCTATAGTTACCATATATCGACATGTTCATACTAGTTCTGCATGTATTATTAGTTTATTACTACCATTTTATTTTTTGAAAAAATAATTTTCTTTAGATATTCGTTGGCAATTTTACAAAGAAAGTATCGTTATAATAATGTTTCATGATCGTTATAATTAAAATAATAGTGTTATAAAGAAGTAAAATATAATAAGAAAAATCAATTTTCGAGAAAATCAAATCCATACCGTAAAAATGTTAGTATTATAATTACGAATAATAATTGTTATAACGAGGTTCGATTATACTTCAAGATTATTATAGCAACAAAACCATAAGTGCAATTGTAGTACGGATACAAATGTTTTGCATAAGTTTTTAACCCAAACTTTTTTTTTCTTAAAAAAAGAAAAAAAACACGTTATGACGTTTCATTGTGATATAAAAAGTGATTAATTGGTTACTTAGCCATTAATTGTTATTATTAATAATTTGTAAAAATTAGGCAAATCACATAGTATAAAAAAGAAATTACTTCCTATCCCTACTATTTTATTAATTACCAAAAATCCCTTTTTTAGTGTCTTTCGGATACATAATATAGCAGCGCGGATACTTTAATTAATAAAGGGCGGATACTTAAATTATTAAGTTGTTGGCACGGATACTTTAATTAATAACGGGCGGATACTTAAATTAACGAGCGGATGCATAATATAGTAGCACAAATACTTTAATTAATAGCGGGTGGATACTTAAACTAATAAAGTATCCGGTTAAGTTGAATTGGGGGAAAATAAGGGATTTTTGTATTTTAGTAAAAGAGTAGGGAAATATTAAGAATAGGTAAAGTAATGTTGTGTACTTAAGTAATTTGTCCATAATTAATAAGCAGATTTTTTTTGACCAATTCACAATATTTGATTTGGATAAATAAAAGGAAGCCCACTCCCCACGTGTGACCAATGTAAAAATACAAAAAACTAGAAATTAACCTTTTTATTTACTAATAAAGAATTATAGATTATTTCAAGAGATGTAATTGATTTATTATTTTGTTGATGTGGATATATACTAAAACCTAATACATAACTTTTTAGCCATCGAGACATCTTGAAAGTGAATTATATTTCATGAATTAGTATCGACTATGATATATGAAATATATTAATCAGTCATGCATGCCACATAGACACGAGCTAGACATTCAATTACTTTAATTT